TGAACAGTTTATGAACATATTGTGTTGTTGATCTTCAACCCATTGAAATATTTAAATAATGGAAACTTTTTGGCCTGACAATTTATGATTACCATATATGGTTTCTCTACTTTGTGATAACTTCACTAGTTTATTGGGTTATGAGTTCCCTTTTGAACGAAGTCCGGGGTCATATTTCGGAACCCTGTGGTCCAAAACATGGACATGGTTTCTCATATTCATTCAAATTCATTATATACATTGTGCATTTCAGATTACATGTCCATGACAATTTGTTTTAAAATCAAATCAAATTTGGCCAACTGGCAGTCTTTCTCAGGGACCATTCATATTTGGCACATACATCATACATATTGGAATACATGTACATGTCCAAGTCAGTTTCTTTCATACTCAAATCCAAGATTGCCGTGCTTTTTGACCAAACTACTATATTTCCAAGCCTTTTGGATCATTTTCATTCATATTTTGCATGTGCATGTTCATATCAGTTTGTTCCAAAGTTAGTTTTTTGGAAAATGTGGTATCTTTGACAGGAATTGTCGGTTTTTAGTCAAATTTGATACAAACATTATACATGTTGAGGTACATGTTCATAATGATTTGTTTCATGTTTAAAATCAGCCATTTTTTTTTTCAAAGTGTATATTGTTGACAAGTTTTTTTGCTCTTCAAATTATACATGTTAGGATGCATGTCCATGACAATACGTTTTACAATCAGATAACGTTGGTTGACTGCCTGCAGTCTTGCTTTTTGACCATACTAGTATATTTCTGTACTTGAGCCTGGACAAATGAAATTCAGTTTGGATACAAAAAAAATCTAATTTCTGTTGATACTAGACCAGCCAATTATTCACTCTCCACTATGCGTTTGGTCCAAATTACAGGAATAACATTTCCCCTAATTCCAACGGAGACTTTGTCATTAACAATGACTTATTTTCATAACGAATTCATGAAATGGAAACACATTTTGCTTTGACCTTAGATTATATGAGGGCGCTCTTCTCTGTTTTATTGTTGTACTGTCTTTGCATGCTCAGTAATTATCTCACCATTTTGATTGTGTGAGGGCGCTATTCTATGCTTTAATGTTGTCCTGTTCTGCAGATGCATTCGTAGATATACTGCCTTTTTTATTTTTGTCTTTTCTGGCATCTTTAGTTGACTCAATGATTCTTTGCAGTTAGCCTGTCTGTATGTATGTATGTCTGTTGCACTGATATCTCAAGAACCACTTTGATGAAATTTGGTACATATATCCTGACAATCTACAGACCTGGGTACTTTAGGGTTCTAATCAATGTGTATTTACTACATACTTACTCTGGAATAAGCCACGTGTGTGTTTAGGATTGAATATACAAATTGGTTGTACAATCTACAGACCTGGGTACTTTAGGGTTCTAATCAATGTGTATTTACTACATACTTACTCTGGAATAAGCCACATGTGTGTTTAAGGTTGAATATACAAATTGGTTGTACAATCTACAGACCTGGGTACTTTAGGGTTCTAATCAATGTGTATTTACTACATACTTACTCTGGAATAAGCCACATGTGTGTTTAAGGTTGAATATACAAATTGGTTGTACAATCTACAGACCTGGGTACTTTAGGGTTCTAATCAATGTGTATTTACTACATACTTACTCTGGAATAAGCCACATGTGTGTTTAAGGTTGAATATACAAATTGGTTGTACAATCTACAGACCTGGGTACTTTAGGGTTCTAATCAATGTGTATTTACTACATACTTACTCTGGAATAAGCCACATGTGTGTTTAAGGTTGAATATACAAATTGGTTGTACAATCTACAGACCTGGGTACTTTAGGGTTCTAATCAATGTGTATTTACTACATACTTACTCTGGAATAAACCACATGTGTGTTTAGGGTTGAATATACAAATTGGTTGCACATACAAATTACTTAATTTGCATATTTATTTGTACTTCATACCCCTATGGGTACTTCATACCTTCAACACACTTTCAATTTTTCTTGATATAATATGATGATATAACCTTGTAATAGTGTAGTGGTCACCATGTCTGTCGGTGTAGTCATCAACAATTTTTTATAACCGTTTGTATGCTTCTGATAAGTGAATAAATTGTGAAATAATTTGTCTTTGCTAGAAATGGTGAAACAACTGAGTGAAAAATACAGTTTACCACTGAAGATAAGTTACAATGGTACTCGTGGCTTCTTTATTCAAATGTACGCTGGACGAGACAACTCTGTCTCACCAGCTGATATGCCACCTGTATTTGTTAAAGTTGTCAGGGTCAAGAGCACACTCAATTTTACAACACCAGACTTGGTAAGTATTTCATTGTAATCTACCATCATACTAACCACATCAACTTCAATTCACACGTTTTTTCTGCAATTGTATGAAATTTCTTCCTCATGGTTCACCTTTTCCTTTGAGATATGTGGTATTTAGTTGTGGGTTTGTCACTAATTTTCTATTTTCTTCAATTCACAGATTAAAATGAATGGTAAGTGTCATGATTAAATTTGAGCAGTTTTATTTTGTTTGGTGGTGGGGAGGGGGGGGGGGTTTCAATTTTACTGATTATTTTATCTGACACATGTATTTAGCTCTTAAAATTTTGCTAAGAACCAAAGACTAAATATTTGGTACCCTGCCCTGCGACAGTTCCTTTGATAAAAAAAAATAAAAAAATACTAACCATTCAATTTTGTGGCAGACATTCAATCCACATCTTTCACGCATTGTGCATGATCTTGCAATGAACTAAAAAATTTCTCTATCTTGGTCTCTATTGGGCCCATAGCAAACTCACTCAATATTCAACCCCAGGTAGAGTTTAAGCTTAGCTCTCAACCACTGGTAATCATTAAATGTTTTGTTACTGATAAGAATACATTATAATTGCATTGATTTCTTTTCCAGATCGCATAAATGAGTCCATGAATGAAATTTATCTGATGACAAACATGTAAGTATCCTCTAGCTTTTTTTCCTGACACATCAAACCCTGATTGTATAAGAGCTAGCTGTCACATTATGAAGTTTTAACTACTATGGCTACCATGTAAGTGATTAAGCGTGTTGGTGCACCAAATTAAACTACACCCACAGTGCTGGTTTACTATATATAGAGAGTGTGTACAATACTATGATATACAAGAAAATCATTCTTAGATAGTTAATTAACATCTTTTTCTGTAACGTTTAGTGTCTGCAGTTAATAACTAAACATGGTGTTGCAGCAAATTGTGTAGCTATGAAATAGGATAAATATGATGCATGTGTATCAGATAGGATGAAGTGTGTGTTTTATCACATACTGTAGAATACTTTATTTTCGCTTGGAATTTATTTTCGCCATTTTCGCTGAAGGGATGATTCTGTGAAAAAAAAAACATCGAATATACTTCTTTTCCTATATTTCACATTAAACTCATCAAAAATCAGTGAAAATAAATTCCATACAAAACGCCCAAAAAGCGTTTTTCAGCGAAAATTAATTTCAGCGAAAATAAAGTGTTTCACAGTATGACAGAAACTTGTAAGTGGTCGATTAAGTGTAAAACACAGTTTATATTTTCAGAGTTATTAATGAGCTGATGAGTGAAATAAGAGGTCAAATTGGTTGTCTTTATAAATTAACTGAATGTGTTGCTGTACTGGATATGTTGGTATCATTTGCCCATGCATGTACTCTTGGAGAGTATGGTGAGTAGAGCTTCATGGTAAACACTGAGCAACCTGGCTGCGCTACGAGTTTGGAATGCTGGTATTCCCTTGGCATCAATGGGTAGTCCATTGTTTGCATAAATGACATTTCTCAACTGAAAACGGAAAAGTAGTTTGTTTTCAAAAAATTGTGTGTTCTGTATATTACTCAATTGGTGTACAATGTGGAAGATTTGTTGTTTTCAAAGACAAACTCGTTTTCTAAAATCTGTAATTTAGCCCTATATAGGGCAAGAATTGGTAGTGTGTGCTACCGTAAATTACAAGACCAGGTGTGTGTTTTTTAACACCTCATAGTTGTAATGTAATTTTCTTGTTTTATCAATTCTCATATGTTAGTGCGACCAGACTTCACTGATACATTAGCTATCAAGCAAGGAAGGCATCCAATACTTGAGAAGATATCCATTGAGTTACCTGTACCAAACAATACTGTAAGCATCACTTTAGGGTTTCACTCAAAAGTCATTCATATAAGTATTTTGAGATTCAGGCACCATGTTGATAAATTAAATGAAATTTTATCTCAATTCATCCTTAGGCCACTAAAACAACAGACTAGCGATCGCTATTGTTTTATGTAGGTGTGAATTAGAGATTTAGTCTGCAGGATTAGTGCCACTACAGACCATGCTGGTAGTTTATTGACATAAGCCTACCCACAGATTTCCGAGCATACTTTCATTCTTCTGCGTTAAGTTTTCTGCTCATTTTTTTGAAGAGTTATGGCATTTTTAATGTTTTGCACTTTATACGTAACTAGCAAATTTAGAGTTATAATGGTCCTTGTTATTTTGACTTTTGATAGCATTTGTCAAACTTTTTTTATGAAAAGTTAAGTCTCGGCCGAAACAATCTTGCCAGGCATCCTATTAAATGAAAAGCTGTATTGCTAGTCTCTTCTGCATGGTCTGAGGTGCTACTTTAAAATTTCTGGTTCTGGGCATAAATACTAGTTTGTTTGAATTTTAATCAAGATTGCACTCAGCACTTTTTTGGAAACATTCCTCTTTAACAATTTTGATAAGCATGACATACTGTTATACCGTACTCGCCCGTGTTATCGCCCATGCCCAGGCATTTTACATGTAATTTCGTAAATTCTGGTGGTATGTAATTAATATCGTAATAAAATGTGCATATTTTTTGTGATCATTTCTGTTTCTTCATTGTAAAAATCAATGATGACAACTAATTGCGTAATTTGATTTTCCCTCAAAGACGTGATTACCCCCCCCCCCTCAATCTGCCACATGATGAATCAAAATTTTCATTTGCACTATTTTTCGAGGGGGGTGCTCAGGTAAGCGCCCACTCCTAAAAAATTGTGATTTTCTGAGTTGAGGCCCCTGGGCGCTTAGGTGGTTGAGTACGGTAATAAATGCTAGGGTTTATGTTATTTTTAATTTTGAATGCAGTTGAAGATGAGTAATAATTTTGTCTTGTTGATGGGAAACCTCTGCAAATTATGGTAATATATTATATTTTTTTTTCAGTATGCATCTGAAGATAGTAATTTTATTATCATTACTGGCCCCAATATGGTGAGTTGTGCAAAAATATGATCAAATATATGAGTGATTCCTTTGCTTTTAAATTGCTATAATCAGCCAAGTCCAGCAGGGGGCTTAAAATTTGGAATCCATCTGTGCACACTCATATGACATGCACGAACCAATTTCATAATTTTTTTTCTGTGGATATCGTATAAGGCTGGCCGTGATATCTCTAAAAATATTCAGCCGATTACTATCAAACATATTTATTTATATAAGCAGTGACTTTATATAATAATGATCCCAATGATTCTAATGAAAAAATAACTTTTAACCAATATAGATGATAAAGTCAGTTAATTCTATCTACTCATAATCTAGCAGGAGTGCTTTACTTTATTTTCTCAAAATCATACCAACATTGCTTTATTGTTGAATCGTCTTTTGAGGTTACTCTAAACATCTTGTCGTAGAACATTAAAAAAAAGCATTTTTTCTACTTCACTGTCTATTTTATTTGCGGATCTATCAGGTTACCAAAAGTGAATGAATAACTTGAATACAATGGGGGTGGAAAGGGGGTGCTGTGAGATGTTAGTATTTTATTCCAGTGACATGTTATATCTTATGTATTATATTTTTCAACGAATCCAGTGAAACTAGACCCCTTTATATTTTGGTATGTACAAAAATGAATTTGAAGTAAATCTAAACTTGATAAAAGCATTCATTTTAGATTTTAAAGCTATAAACCTACTCTAATGATGTTTACAGTGAATTTCCATTACTGATGAAAAAGACGTATCAAAATGTTCTGGGAATTGTGGTTATCCCATTTCCTGCAATTTGACTTGGGATGTTCAATGGATTCAAAACTTTTTTATTTGTAGAGTGGTAAGTCAACTTATTTGAAGCAAGTAGCTCTCCTGCAGATTATGGCTCAGTTAGGATCTTTTGTACCAGCACAGTATGCATCATTTCGAATCATTGATCAGCTCTTTACTCGTATCGGTTTTGACGATGATATAGAATCCAATGCATCAACATTCATGGTGGAGGTGAGTTGTATGAATTTAGAGCGCCCTCTTGTGTTTAAAATCAGAAATGTTAGTATTCTCCTGAGACCTAGTTTAAAACTATTTCATCAGGCAATATAAAACTATCGTCCAACAACGTACATTGCCCAATGTTTGGTAAGTTTTAGAAAAGAAATGATATCAGATTTCAAGCTGATAATTTTATTAGTTAAGCTGTCTGTCTGCCTGTGTGTGTACTTTGAAGTTGCACTATTGACAGAACTGTGTAGGTGCATATTCTTTGTATAGAATAATGTGAGAGTGCAATCGTTCAGATATTGAACAACACTTGGCCGAGTGAAGTTTAATACCTGAAGAATTGCATGCAGTACATTATCTGGTTTACAAGATGTTTGCAATTGATGATAGTCTGAAGAATTTAATAATTTTGTTCCTTTGTTTTGTTTATTTTTCTTTTTAAGTAGAAATAAACCGGGAAAATAACTTTCTCTATCGACCCCTAGTCAACTACACCTAGAGTTTGTACTGACCAATCATATTGAAATGATTATCTGTATATCAGTGTTTTTACGTGCATATTTTGGGCAAGTTATTGCAAGAAGAAGAGTTACACTGCATAATCAGCTTATGAATATTTATCACTACACTGTAAACATTACAATTCAACCACTGAAATCAAATTCCCGGTATTTGCCTTTGAACTTCAAAATTGGGTATTTTCTGAAATTTTATAATGAGTGTAGATCTCAAAAACATGACTGTATCTAGTGGTGTACTGGCGGCGGTGCAATATCTAGGTACTGCACTGGTAAGCATGCATTCATACAGATACTGGTAATGTCTCCTTAGAACACAGAAGTCAAAATTATTGTAATGTTGATCATCTTCTATATCAAGCACATAATATTACACTATTTTGCAGCTCAAAACAAACATTCCCTTTAAACAGGGATTATGGTCGTAACTATAGTACATTGTACTTTATTGTTGCAAAATAACATTTAACTACGATCATGCACAACTCCGAATTTTGATACAAGCTTGCATGTAAATATGCAACCGATGTTTAGTAGATCTTTAAAATTGGCTGATATCAGTACTTAAACATGCGCGTGCATTATACTCACATGCCTGGTTCTGATTACATTGTAACTTGAATTCAAATTGCACTGTAGCAGATTTCATTGATTTCATATTATTTTTATCTTTCAGATGAAGGAGGTTAATTATATTGTACAGAATGCTACTGATACATCATTAATTATCATAGATGAGTTAGCAAGAGGTAAGAAAGCATGCCTACAGAGGTCAATTATTATAACATTATTGCAAGCTAGTGGCATCCCTATCCCTTGACTGATGCTTAAAAATGTTGTCTTTTTTGCACAGTCAAACTGTGTTTGGGAATTGTATTTTACATGCAGATTTTCCAGTTCTGTCAATAATAACTTAGTTACTTATGGTCTCCTTGTAGGTACTAGCAACGAAGAAGGTTTGAGTATTTGTTATGCAGTCTGTGAACATCTCTTATCACTTAAAGCATTCGCATTCTTTGCAACTCACTTTCTACAGTTAACACGTCTTCCTGAACATTATCCCAATGTAGAAAAGTAAGTCTAAACATAAAAGTCTACTATTTTACAGAAGAGACAGAGTAATATGAGTATCATTATTGATCATCAAAACTACTTTTCAAGGTTCTGCTAGCCATTGACAATTGTAGGATTTGAAAATTCCATCAGTCTACGTTGTTAGGATATACATAGCTTGGAATGATCCTTTTAGCTCTGCTGTTGATAAAGTCGAGAGATGCTATTCATATTACCGATTGTTCATCGACATGAACTTTACATTTACGACTTCTCCTTAAAATTGTCAGCTGTATGGGTTTTGTATCTTGGGTGATCCTTTTTCAGGTTTGTACATTTTAGGACAATGGACTCACTGTTCATGTTTTAAGGCAGCTCTGTATGGCACCTTTACCAACTCAGTCTGCATGCACTCCAGAGAGGACAATTTACAGACCGATTCATATAGCCAAGTAACCAGGGGTAATAATGTAAAGTTCCATTGAGTAGTTTGACACGTATATAGTGTTTTATAAATGTCTACACATTATTATTTATGAATATTTTATATTGTTTATTCACAGTTATTGCATGGAAGTTCAACATAACTACACTACCAGTGGTGGTAACAATAAAGTGTCCTATACTCATGTACTCTCAAAGGGATGTACACAAATAAAACATTATGGTGAGTACAAATTATTCTGATCTTCTCTTGAAATCCAGAGATCTGAGGGAGGTAATTAAATAATTGGGCCTTTGCATCAACTTTAGAACAAGTTTGGAAGCACATTTAAAAAATGTTAGATTGATTATTCAGTATCATGCCTCTTTAATATAAAATAATGTAAAATTCCTCTTCACCTGCTCTACTCAATAGACCAAACAATGTTGGACAGTGGATTGATATCAGTAACACATGTCTATTAGGTCAAGTAAATAATGTTGCATTTCACACAGATCGCACGCATACTTATGTATATGAATCTTCTCAGGATTTCATTTGACCACTAATAATTTTGTGTTTTATTTAACTGATTAGGAATACAGTTAGCTGAAACCTCAACATTACCAAAGTCAGTGACTGAGTCAGCAAAGCAGTTGGCAGCTTCACTTATAAAAAAGGAACAGGTATGCTGGATTGTATTTTTTACACAAAATGATGTGCAAACTAAATTCTGGTGGTACGTAATTAATCTTATAATAAAATGTGCATATTCTTTGTGACCATGTCTGTACCTTCATTTGTAAAAGTAAGTTGGACAAGTACGGTAGTAATGTACATTTGATATATATATATAATATTTATCTTCTAATTACAACAGGAAGTTTTATTATTATTTTTGGTCTTGACTGAACAGATGAACCAATTAATAATAACAAATTTGAAGGGTAAAAATGTTGCATAGTCGTTGACAAATTAGTGAGAAAATTAACTGACTTGCTTTAAATTATTATTCTGTATGTTTTCCAGGTTACCACCAAAGAAAGCCAAGAACTTGTCAAGCAAAAAGCAGTTTTCAAGTTGGGTACTCGTTTAATTCAAGCAGCAAGAAATTCTCGACTTGATGGCCCTGGCTTACTAAGTTATATGGAAGCATTACGTGGACAGTATCGTGCAGAAAGCCAGAACCATGAAGAGTGAATTAGCTTTTACTTCACATTTTGAATATTTTTATCCCACTCGATAAATTTCTAATATTAAAGGGTGGCAGTCGTCGTGCCGCGTCCTGTTCGATATGGGACTCATCGCGACGTATACAACGTGTGTAAAATACATTGTTTATTTACATGAAATTCGAACACGCGCTGCGCCACGACCACCGCGCTTTAAGATTTTTTTAAGAATTTACACTTAGATTTATTTTTAGGAGCTGCATGTAAATTTTATATCATAAACTGCACTGTAAATAGATTAAGCTCTTAGATTAATTTTGGATTTAATACAGTTCATATTCAAATTTAATTTCCTTTTACACTTCGTATTATGAATCATATAATGGATCATCCTCATTGTGGCTAACTATCATTAGTAAAAGTGCAGTCACTTTAATTGCTCTAGTGTAGTTGTGCTTATGCCGTAGGTAAAAGGATTTAAGCTAACTTTTTGGTTGAATCTTTACTAGTTTTAGTATCTGCATGGTGGTAACCAATTGTATAGTACAACATGAATCAGGCTCTTACCATAGATGATACCATGTTTATTTATATGTATCAAACAGAGCAATCTCATAATATACCATTGTAGGCCATGATGACAGGTTGCAAAAGTTAATGTTAGAGAAATGGGTCCATACTCCCGTAAATGAATAAAGTTGTTACTGTGCTAATATAATACAGTGTAATATTTGTCGTCTTAGATTTGTTAAATAAAAAAAGTTTATTTTAGATTATACAAAAGTATGTTGTCTATGTTGGGCAGGGGAATACTTGTATGCAAATGAGAACTAATGAAGACCCTTGTTGTGAAATGCAATAAATGACTGATAGTAGAAAGTTTGACATAGTGTGTCTGTGCGAATGCGTACATGTGACTATATCTTAGACATGCTTAGACCAATTACATTCAGACTTTACACATACATAATATTATACATAGGCACATCAATGTTTTATGATCTGATTCAAGATGGCTGAATGGCAGCCATTTTTGTGTTGAAAAATCAACAAAATCAAGCATTTCTGGGATTCCAGAACTGGATCTCGGCTGTTTACAAATGGATTTTGTTCAAAATCATACATATATTGGACATTATAAGACCTTGATGCACGTCATTTGTTTTTCAGATTGGATTCAAAATGGCCGACTGGCGCCCATTTTGTTTTAATGAATGTGGTTCTAGTGTCATAACTCTGACATGCTTATGCTGTTTATGTTCAAATTTTATATATTCATTATACGTACATCATGTCATATACAGAATGTATTGGTTTGGCAATCTGATTTAAAATGACTGCATCATGGCCATTTTTGTGCTAACAAATCATCAAAATCCAGCATTTTTGGCATTCTGGAACCGGATCTTGGCTGTTTACAAATGAATTTTGTTCAAACTCATACGTATATAGGACAAAATGAGAGTTGCATAAATTGCCATAGTGTGTCTGCCTACCAAACAAAACTGCTTTGACTTGAAGTGTACTCAAGGAAGGGACTTGGGGCATGGATGTGTGAGGGCTGCTTAACATCTCGCTGATTTCAAACAAGTAGCGAAAAAATCATCTGTACACCCTTAGCCTGAATGGCCCACTGTGTCATGCTGGGGTCTAAAGTCACAGATAGCATTCACAAGAAACAACCCTACCAAATGGCTCATGCTTTATCAAACATGCTCTGCTAATTAGTCCCCATTCGGACGAAGTCCAAAAACTGGGACTATTAATTTGGGTTTGTTACGTTCGGAGCTATATCTTGGACACCCAATGACGGATTTTATTCAAACTTTACATGAAGACAATACATAATGTCTTACATATGTGCTTCAAGTTACTTTATGATCGAAGCAAAAATGGCCGACTGGCGGCCATTTTTCATGTAAAATTTGCTATTTCTGATACCTAAACATGTCCGCCGCAGTTACTCAGAGATGACTGGGATTTGGATCAAAGTTGGTATGGTGATCATTATAGGTTATAGGTGCATGTCATATTTTTTCCGTGATTCTGACAAATATGGCCGACTGGCAGCCATTTTGTTTTTTATGGTACCCATGCTACTTTCTCTTGAATGCAATTAACGTTTCTCTTTAAATTTCGTACAAAGATAGTATACCAAGGGATACATTTGTACCAACATTATTTTTGTGATTCGATTTATTATGGCTGACCGACGCCCAAATTTCCTGTAAAAGCGTTATATCGTCATTTTTTACATGTCCGGAGATTGATGTTGATATTGGGTTATAACCCTCTACTGGAGGGTCTATGGTTATAAGTGCACATCATATTTTTTTGTGATTCGAACAAATATGGCTACTTTATACATATTTGTTCGAATCATGAAAAAAAAAATGACGTACACCTACAACCCAATATACATGATCATCATACATGTACCAACTTTGATCCAAATTGGCCCAGTCATCTCCAAGAAAATGCTGCGGACACGTTTAGGTATCAGAAATAGCAAATTTTACAACCAAAATGACGCGCATATGTAAGACATGTCTGACATGTATTGTCTTCATATAACGTTTGAATGAAATCCGTCAATGGGTGTCCGAGATATAGCAATGGACGAACAGAACGTACTAGTACCCAAATTAATAGTCCCAGTTTTCGGCTTTGTGGGGACTAATAACAATGCCAGGAATATGATTATGATTGTTTAACATTAAAATGATTGACATTTGTATCTGATCGTCAAACAAGTACTTATCCATATTGAAAGATATTGCTCTGGAACAGCATTCAAAATCAACCATTTTGAATACATGTATGCATATAACATGATGTATAACAAATATATAAAATTTGAACATAATCAGTCAAAGCATGTCAGAGATGTGGCCCTAGAAACCTAATCATTAAAACAAAATGGCCGCCAGTCAGCCATTTTGAATCCGATCTGAAAAATAAAATTACGTGCATCAGAAACCCATAAGTCTAATGTATGTACCAAGTTTGAAAGAAATCCATCCATAGATACCAGAAATGCTTGATATTTGATGATTTTTTAGCACAAAATTGGCCATCATTCGGCCATTTTGAATAGGATTGTCAAACCAATACTGTAAAGGGGGTAATTATTCACTGGGTTTTAATTTAGCTTATTTCGCTGACTGGAAAAATGCGCTAAATTAAAACACAGTGAATATGTAAAATTTAGCATAGAACACATTATCTAAATGACGAAACCGTGAATTTAAAACCCACTGAATATGCCTGAAATGGTAAATCAGTGAAATTTAAACCCAGTGAATATTAGTCATTTTACAGTATATCCGTATATTTATGACAAGATGTACAATGAATATTAAAAATTTGAACATAATCAGTCAAAACAAGTCGAGATATGGCACAAGAACCACATTCATTAAAACAATATGGCCGCCAGTAGGTCATTTTGAATCTTATCTGAAAAACAAAATTATTTGCATCAAGGTCCCATAATGTCTAATGTACAATAAATATACATGTACCAAGTTTGAATCCATCTGTAAACAGCCGAGAAATGCTTGATTTTGATGATTTCTTTAGCACAAAAATGACTGCCATTTGGCCATTTTAAATCAGATCGTGAAACAAATTGACGTGCATATGTATAATATGATGTATGTGTGAAGTTTGATTATGATTGGTCCAGGCATTTGTAAGATACAGGTCCGGGCGCACGCACAGAAGCACGGACCACAAGGGTCAAAACACAAGTCCCCGTTTTCGATCGGGGACTAAAAATGTGTCGGCATGTACCACAATGACTAGTACTACGTTCAATTCGATCTCTGTTATCTTCCATGCAGTGCAACAGAGGGCCCTTCTGGCCTCCATATGGCTTCTGTTTCAACTCCATGTAGATTCAGAATTGAAGTCATACATACTTACACAGACATGAGGCCAAATCAAGAAATGGCTTTCACACCATCTCAATCTAGAGATGATCAAAATCTCATCAAGTTCGGCTCATTGCAGCCATCTGTCAATCACTACTTCATTGGAGGGACAGCTAATTTGTGTACGACAGCCCACTGTCCATACAACAAACTGCTCTTTGATAATCATCAGCAGGCGCAGTACCTGATAAAGTGTGGCTCTGCAATCTCAGGGATAGCACCTGTGCATCAAGCTATTTACTTGTTACACAGTCGTAATCATTTCAACTCGAGATGTTAATTCTGTGCTATAATATCTTGGACTATAGGCTATTATTTGATATGAAAGGATTTATTGACATGCTTTGTTCAACACTTAAGGAATCCACTCAATCTATCAATTGTAGTTTTGTGTTTTTCGCTCCTGACAGTGTTAGAATCATACAAGGGTATTTTGTAATACCATTTTAGTTGCTTGGTCTGCTTGATGTTTTTTCCCAGTAATGACTGAAAGACACATAGAATCAAATCCCTCTCATGCTGCCAATCTGGCCTACATGCACCAGACTTCACAAACTCTGCCATTACTCGTATATAATTATGTGATACGCTTATTATTATGCTCACAGATCGGTCCTGCTCTGTCTGGCCCGATCGTTATTGGGTTTGACATAGATAAATTAATCCTTTTGTAAATTCTCATAATAGCGTTATCTAATATGAATACATTAAAATTATTATTATTCCGTTATGTTAAGGAGTCATCCAAAGTTCAATAAACCAACCATGTGGTCATCCACACATTAAATCTAAGTCTATGATGGGGAATGCAAATTTGCTTGGTGCTTCTTTTTACAGTGACAGTCGGGTGAACATCATTTAGTCTTCCTGTTTGTACATGTGTTGTTGGAATGTTTTATTTAGGCACGTGTATATTATGCAATGTGACGAAGACATTTCTATTTCCACAGTGGTAAGACAAAAAGTTTAGAGCATATCACTTACATCATTAGCACCATGCTAACATAAACATACCTAGAGATTGAACAAACAGCTCAGGATTAACACTTTGCTTTTGCATAAACCCATGATTGACAGCCATTGCTTGAAACAA